CAAAGCCGCGTGTACGGTTGCCGGCTAGTCCGAGGCCCAACTCGCGCGTCGCGTCTCGCGCCTCACGCGCGCGGCGGCAGTTAAGGGCAGTTATTAGCCCGACAAGGAATTATCGTATCCCCACACTTCGCTCTAGCAGCGTAGACAGCAGCCAGAGTACCCTCCTGGCATAGCTATGGGCCTTCAACGGCCTCCTCCGAGCGAGATGACACTCGGGAAATCGCAAGGGATATCTCCGCGATTTTCCGAACATTTCCCACGCCTTGACCACAGGTTATCGGCTGCTGTCGACTCTGTTGGGTCTTGGACCTTACGGTGCTCGTCCCACCACACATTTTTGTGAACTAGCGAGGCTCTATGTGTTGGAAATGTAGTATTACTGAGTAGAGATTGAGGGAAACTTGTACACATATGATACCAGAAGTTTTTTCCTCATAAGTCTATTCTTGAAAACATGTTGAAACATAGGAAGATGCCACCAAAGCGCGCACTTTCTGCTAGCATTTGCGCACAATGACTGTATATGCGCTGCGCTAGTACGGCTTGCCGGGCTAAGACGTTCGACTTCTCGATGAATGCCAAGTAGTATATTGAATAATAGTGACTGGGTCTATCTACGGTGCTGTATGTCCGATTCTCGTGGACAGAAGTCACTGGGGCAATCTTCCTGCAAGTAAATCTCCTGGAGATAGTACGTGTCTTACTATTGAGCGTCCATAGCAATCCATGCTCTCCAGAGCTCGCGACCGAGGCGTGGGAAATGTTCGGGAATCTGCGAAAATATTCCTTGCGACTTCCCGAGTGTCATCTCGCTCGGAGGAGGCCGTTGAAGGCCCATAGCTATGCCAGGAGGGTACTCTGGCTGCTGTCTACGCTGCTAGAGCGAAGTGTGGGGATACGATAATTCCTTGTCGGGCTAATAACTGCCCTTAACTGCCGCCGCGCGCGTGAGGCGCGAGACGCGACGCGCGAGTTGGGCCTCGGACTAGCCGGCAACCGTACGAGGGCCAGTGTGCGGGCCGTGTCCGTTAGGTTCAGTGAAGAAGGCCTGCGGCCGAAGCTCCGCCCCGATGCGAAATACGAGCGGGGCACGGCGGAAGTGATAGCGTTAGCGAGAGGATCGAACGGGGAAGGTCGTGATGAAGACGTTAGAAAAGAGCAGAAGGTACGGTAACCTATTTCGGAGCTTCGGGCGTCGGAAGGAAGGCGTTGGACGTGATCAAGAGTCTAGAGATTAGCAACCGCGAGCAGTGACTTCCTAGGGGGCGGGGGGCACTATAAGGCGGACGGGTATGGAGATACAGGTCGCACACGTAGCGTGAGCCGCACATAACGACGAGCTTGCGCGGATGCGAAGGATGGCGCGTGTAGTACAAACGAACCCGTATAAGTGCCGACGCGGAAGTAGAATCCGCTCACGCGGGAGACAAAGTGGGAGATCGGGGAAGCAGAGAAAGACGGCCGGAGATTAAGGCAGGCAAAGTGAGCGACGCCAGCATGGCAATCGCTGAAGATTCTTACGGCCGAGCCAGACGGGTCGTCAGAGAACAAGGTGCCGGACTTTGGGCGGGATCCCGGGTACGGCCCGTAGGGTCCGCGACTGGGCAGTGTTCCGGATTCCCCACCGTCTCCCGGCTTTCCGATACGTACGCTGACGGTCTATCTGACGATGCGGCCACCGCCGGACTACGCGGTCGCTGTGATTTCCCGGGAAGGATAGCTCATGTGGATATAGAAATGCGCACGGGCGTCACTCACGACGGGATCTCGATAAAGTAAAAGTAAGTACGGGAGATTATACTGATGACCGGAAGCGGCGCTGTAGTCAAGAACTCCAGACGATGGGCCGAGAGCAACCCCGCCGTATTTTACGATAGTCCCGTTCGAGCGACCTCACGGGAATAGCCCCTTGGGCAAATTTCCAATGAGGGAGATAGACCCTAATCAATTCGTCTGCGGGTATGAAGCTCCCTTGCATATACTGACCCAACGCCTGAGTGAGACAGCGCAATCCGGGTCCGTCGATGTCAACGCCGGGCAGATACAGCGTTGTCAGGTTCGAAGTTTCCACCAGTAATGCGTGCCAGTCGATAGGACTGGGGGAGAAGTCATCGACGTTGACCACCAGCGTGTCTATTCGGTCGCTCAGGAGACGCGAAGTTGAGAGGCTGGACAGCTGTAGAGACTGCAAAGCCGCCACCCAGTATTTCATAAAGACGACATCGGCAGGCTGATGGGGTGTACGTCTCGCGCGACGATGGAGACGGTAGGGTTTTGTGGAGGTCATGGCGGATCGCATGGTGAACGTATAGAGTTCAGCGTCGCGCGGTGCGCCGTTGAGGATATGATCCGCGTCAATGGCGAGGGAAAGCGTCATGTATTCCGGCCAATTGAGCAAGGGCGATCCTCCCCGCTTCTCGTCGACGTCGCGTTGGAAATGAAATGACGAAACGAGACTCCCGTGGGTGATAAGCTTCTTGGGGCACAAGGCAGCTGCAAACTCGGCGAAAACCATGCACTCGGTTGAAAAGGTCGTTAAATCTTCGTCGACGTCGCCTCCCATGCTCTGCGAGATGACGTCCACATGGACCTGCGCTAGCTTCGGCGTGCTCATGAGTCTGCGAAGTATAGTCCAGACATCGAATGTATCTCGGATGTGCAGACGCGAAAGATGCGTCAACGTTATGGTATCCTCTTGTTGATGATTCCATTCGGATAGACGGGGAGAACATGCCGCCAGCAGCACCAGGATCCGAAGTTGTGGACAATCGCGCAAGATTTGACATATGTCGGAATGTTTCCAGGTGAAATCGTCCTCCTCGCATGCGATATGCAACTCGACGAGATTGCAGCCCTTGACCACGAGAGGAAAATTCTGACTCTTGACTCGCTTGACGGTAGGTGAGTCCATGATGGTCTTCGTTCTATCCTCCCTATGGATGACCGCCCAGTCGCAACGAACGTCGAGTTCTTGAAGCTTGGGCGCTCCGTCGCGACGAAAGGCGTCGATGAAATACCTCGCGGGAGAACGTAGACCCCATTCGTCGGTGGACGGCAGCGTCAATCGGATCCTTTCCGCGCGGCGAAGGTAGGGCATGACCCAATGTATCGTACAGAGACAACTGGGGTTCGGCGCCATAACGTCCCGCAAATCATTGAAAATGGTCCGATGATGACACCAGAAGGTCGGATCTGTGAAGCGATAGAGCGACGAGTACGGGATATAATGAAGCAAGAGGTAACGCAGTAGTTTGTTCACGTGTAATAGCGCCATGAGTCCGCGTCTCTCGAATCGTCGCGGAAACGAACAGCTTTGCGCTTGGTAGCTCAGAGCACCACACGCAGTATAGCAGCAACTATACGGTATACACGGTGGGCGCGCTTTGGTGTCAGGCTTTGGCTTCCAAGCTACCAGAGGCTTAAGGTAGCTATCCGGCAGCAAGGGGCGCTGAGATTGATCAGAGAGCAGAAGGTCGACGACGAGGCACCAGACGTCGTAATTGAGTGCTCGTCCCTCGGGTCGCTCGGTGTGCTGCTTGGGAGTCTGCTTGGCCATGTCGTGGTTCCTGGCGGACAGAAACGTAGAACGGCGACTACCCCCATCGACATGAACGGATCAACCGGCGGCACGTGTCTCGTGAATCCCACTCGTCATCACCGCGTCTCTCCTGCGCGAAGCGGGCCGTGCGCGGTGTTTCTGGGCATGCTCGAGGGCGTGGGCGTGGTGTTTGGACAGGTAATTGCGCGAATACCGGAGTTGCCGCCATTACCCGAGGGTGCCGCACCTGTATAGACTTGACCGGACCTCCGCCCTCGCCCTCATACGCATCCTCACCCTCTACACACGTCGTCACTGTCATGCTCTGATGCGCCACTGCCTTCTTGTGCGAGTTGAGAATTGCCACGGTCCCAACCATCTTATATTATAGCGCACCGCCACGCACGCATTCTTATAGCGCTTCGCCACCTATACCTCGTGATTTACTCACTCACTCCCCGTTCGATCTCGATCGCAAGATACATACATCACGCATGCAATCGCTAGCTCTGACTCTGACTCGACTCTTGTACTTCACACTTTGGGTGATCTCATGTGTTGTGTAGGTCGCCGCTCACGTCGCCCGCGCCAATGGGGAGGACAAAGGAGGGGCGTTGGGCTGCGCGTCGTCGTTAGATTGCGCAACCGTGTATTCAGACGTAGCTGCCTTGCTTGATGTCAGGGAGCTGTGTAGGTTGGCTTCCCAGGAATGAGATACGGGTCGGCGATCGACAGCGGGACTGCGGTTCCTTCCCTTTCACACCTCTCTTTCTCCTGGCCGCTGCCACTGCTGCCTTGTACATACAGCTGTCTCATGTGGAAATGGGGAAAATGCGGGTCGCGCCGAAAAATGAAAAACTCGAACGCGCGCGAGCTCGCCCGTCACGCGAACAGACCGCGGTGAGCTGCTTTGACCGCGTACACTACGTCCCTCTACCTGCACTGCTTCAAAGCTGTATGCTATCATACCCTTTCTATATTTACTGTAAACGAGAAGAATTTCCAGCGAAATCTAACCGCATGCGCGCGGGATATCGTCGACCAACCTCGGACATCGTCACCCGAGCTCCGCTCGATCCTGCTTCACCAGACGAGCTGGCACAAGCTGGATCGCGATGCAAGAAGTACCGCATGGCCTTCTAGAAGGTCGGACCGTAGAGGGCACTTGATCCCTGCTACGTGTGATGCGAGGGAGCTTCGCCGCGGGGCCCGTTGTTGGTGACGCCTAGGGTCGACGCACCGAGGCCCGCACCATTCTGGAGAAGAGACAAACTGCATAGAGGGAAACTAGATTGTTAATAGCTGGTGTGTACTTATTACATACTATGTCCTCACCCGTCATCCGCATCGAGCCTCGCTGACGAGGTGGCATGAAAGGAGTATAAAGGGGAACAATGGAAGTACGGTGGCTCCACATGGTGTATGAGGCGTGGGACGACGCCCTGCGCGCCCTTGGTCGAGTATTCGTCTGACCTTTCGCTACCATCGACAGTCTGTTCTCCGCACTACCTCGTGTACGCATACGAACATCCCACCGTACTCTATCAACCCGAAGTGGAGGGTTGCAACATCTGCACGTCTCATACGCTGCCGTGAATTCCTCAACTCTATCCCGTCTTCTCCCCTGAACGACCGAACTCCGAACTCTGATTGGTGAACGCCACGATGCCACCATCCCCAGGCCCGGCCTCTTCAAGCGACTTCTTAATCGCTTGCGCACCCGAAGTGGTCATATCTTCCATCGACGAGGTAAGCCCTCCCTCTTCATACATCCTTCAGCGCGTGCTGATTGTGGTGCTGCCCAGGACTTCACCGCCCCAACATCCTCCCAATCAAGCGTCGACGTCGACAGCCCTTCCTCGTCTCCCGCCTCGCGCAAACACCGCCTCTCGCACAACATAACCTTTGCCTCTTCCTCTCCCTCTGTCTCTACTTCCACATCGGCATTTTCTCCAACATCCTCATCACGCACCCGCCGCGCAGTCCGCTTCGCAGTCCCCGCCTCCGCCGACAAAAAGCACTCCAGGCGCCTTGCATCTCCCGAGCCTGACAGAGAGCGGCTTTTGCATTTGCTCAACAGTATCGAGTCGCTCGGCATGTCGGATTCGTCGTGCGAGGAGGACGTGGAGGCGAGCGAGGCGCATGGGGGGAGATGGCTTCATCCGTCGCCCAGTAGTTCGGTTACAACTTCGGCGGGAAGTTGTTGTGTGGATAGTAGTGGGGCCGGAGGTGCGGTGGCGACGGCGGTGGTGGATGAGATCAGTGAGCGGCAGGCGAGGAGGCGGGCGAGGAGGACGGCGCCGTATTGAAGTTAGGCCTTCTTCGCGCCCTCCGGTCGAGATCCCAGCGTGTAGTTTTGAGCAGCACAATAGTTTCGAGACGGAGCTCTAGGAACTTCTGGTGGTCCCCGAAAAGGAATGAAGGTGTCGCGTTCAGTTTATGCGCCGAGCAAGCGAGAAAACAGATGTTGAGGCAGCCTGTACCTACACGAGTGGCTCTGGGCGTATCGTAGTAATATCGCGTATCATACAATCACGATCGGGGGGAAGGGGGTTATGATTAAGGGAGTCGAGCTGAAAGCGCCGACTACCCATTCAGGACGCCGGGGCAAGGGGTCTTAAGCGGATCTGGCCCCGTCGCACGGTAGTTACTATCCGAGCCAGATGCAATTCCGGAGAATATATAGTGAAGGTAGATGCTACGTATATTAGAGAAGGGCGACCGCGAATGTACAATGAAAGATCAATGCAACGCAATTAGTTGACGCGTAGTGAGGGTATATATAATCCACGGACAATGCTATATGATCGAAAATCTGATCAGCCGACGATAAATTGGGTTCCGTAACTTATGTCAGGCAAGAGCAGGGAGCGGACGCCTCCTGTGCCGCCGTCTCAAGGCCAGCAGCCGTAGACCCTCTCTGCCATGACGTCCAGAATGCTCGTAGTGATATTTGAGTCCATTCACGTTCTTATAACGTCGTTGGCAATCCCCCACACCACATGCGAACGGGCGTACCCGACGCTCAATCTCGCATATATCGCTGGCAGACAGCTCGTCTTCCTCGTCAAGCCCTCTTTCAACAAGAAGGTCTTGAATCGCTTGATGCTCCTTGGATACGCCGAAGGTGCACGATCCGTGCGAGATGTGGTATCGCAGTCCATTTGCCTGTTTATAAGACTTGCTACACAGTGCGTTTGGGCAGCGAAACGGCCTAGGTTCCAAAAGCGATGATGCGGGGTGGGACAATGCCGAGCCGGCGCGCCGGGAGCGACGAGAGCGACGAGAGCGCCTGACGTTATAGTCGCGTGCCACATTGACGATACTGGCTGACAGAGGCTGAAGGAAGTCTACGTCCTCATCCGAGGACATGCGCGACGCAGAAGGCGAGGGTGAGGGGGGGAGACTTGGATTCGTTACTGGGGAGCTAGGGCTAGAACCGGGCCCCGCCACCGTGTGTCGACAGAGTCGAATTGCGTTGCCTTCCGCCGTTTCCGTAGGCAGTGCGAGATATTTTCCGAAGATTCTTTCCTCCTCCTCCTGGGCAGCATCGGATCCTGCCTGGCACTCGCTTCTCGATGAGACGCTGGACAAACAGAAGACGCCTTCGGCGAGTTTCGCATTTGGCCGTCGCGGATCGTCGCGGGTCACGCACAACAAATGCGCCTCTTCAGAATGGTCTACAAGCGCATGCAGGTCGGTCAATACAAGACCGCAACAGCGATAATTCTTGCACTGCTTATGGTGCATCTCAGCGAAGTGGTATAGGTCCACGGGCGGCTGTGTCGCTCACATATTCTTCCCCGGCATTTGAGATCACTTCTAGTTCATCATCGCGCTCGTCCCGAAGCTGCAACATGCCCTCGCTCGAAGACATGTCGTAGCTGTCCCAGGGTATCGAGCCTAGCGTTGAGCGCGCGTGATAATCGGGGCAGAAGACCTCGCTGGCCGGGCAATCGTCACAGCGGTCGTTATATATGGAGATGATTGGATGCGCCATACAAGGCGGACAGCGAGCGACGGGGTACGCGCTCTGAGAGAAGATGTTGGTGAACGTTTGCGACAGCCCAGGCGCGCCCAAATCCCAACGGACCGATCGCATCAAACATCAAACGCCCACGTCCCCGATTGACGACGGGACCTGACAAAGTCGCGTCGAAGTCCGATCAAACTTCCCCATGTCCGCCGCATATGGGCAGATCAAGACGTCCCCCCCACGTAGCCAGACATTGCTTTGCGCCACTGGCGGCTCCCTCAAATATGGAGATCGCCAGGAGTAGCGGCTGTCGGCTGAGTTGGATCCGCATACGAATGCGGGTCCTCAAGCGGTACGTGCCTGCGTATGTGTAAATTGCCTGTCTGGCGCCGCTGATGGTCTGCAAACAACGGGAAGGGTCCTTCCACTCAAGGACTTGCGGGCTGCGTTCTAAACCACAGACTCGCACTATCCGGCTGTTTGTAGAAAGATAGGCCGCCCGTGGTCCTAAACACAAACGGATGGGCACCACTTCGCCCCACACCCGGCGCGATGTGTGCACAGCGGCGTCGACTCCGGTTTTCTCGCTCAGCTACATTGCGAGCCGTCAATCTCGCGCAAAGCAGTTGGCATGCATCTCAGGACCTCACTGTGTCGGGACGCAGTCCCAAGACAGAAGTTAGACCTTTATTCGTTGAAACCAGACGCAACCCGGCCGGGCCGAATCAGTACTCGATGCTTTCCGCGTGAGTAGGTGGCGCGAAGCGGCGCCCTACTCTGTCTGCGTAGGAGCCAGGGGTTGCCTGTCGTTCCGCAAACAGTTGCGTGATCTTTGCCCGCTTCCAGTGGCAGTCGACTAATCTAGTACGCCCACAGACCTGGCGCTAACAGCGGTATGCGCTAGTTACATCGCATGGGGTTGTGCTGGACACACGGAGAGGTCCCGCGCCGTCTCCTTTCCGCTCATCTTCTGGCGCGCGCGCAGATCGGTCAGACCCTCGCACGCACCGAGCGTCGCTGATATTCAACGATGCAGCAAGGTCATATATATGAGATTTGCCTGATTTGTATGGAATGTGTAAAATCAGGACGTAAGCGTGTGGAAAGAGTTCGCGAGACGAGACGATGTCTCCAGCACCAGCCGGCACATTGGGGCGCCGCCCAGTCCGTTGTAGACACACCAATATAGTATTCACTGAGTTCCTCGTATGTGCGGGGGTAAGTGAAGACGTTGCGGCGATGGTCGGAGCCTCGGCGGAATGGGGCGGGCGCGCGAAGTGTTACGGTACACGGGGAAGCGCCAATCTTGGTCCGGAGGACTGTCGCATGTGAGATGCAAATGTACGCTTGTCTTAACTACTTTATGTAACGCACATGGCGCGAAAGGGGGGCGCTAGTTGGGAGGTTGAATCCCCGGCGCGGCGTAAGATAGAGGACAGATACGCCAGGGATACGGGTCGCGGTAAGAACAGCCTCGAGCTGCGGAAAGTCAGTACTCGGAAGGGTACGGCCGAGGTCAAGAGATTGTTCGGATGTGAAAGGAGGTTGTGTTCGCCGAGTCCGGTCCGTGTCCCGCCGAAGAACGGGGAGACAACGGCGAATGCTAATACGTCGAACGTTCCCTACGCTTCCAAGTCGCGCTTTGATCAGCTTAGGGCGAGATATAGTGCTGGAATTATTTAACGGGACGTACCGCCATTACTCAAGGCGGTGACTACGTGTGTGCCGCTGGAATGAGAGCGCTCGGTGTCGCGCGAGGGTTTCATTACCCAGAGTATTGACGCGGTGAGCTAGGGAGCAGAGCTACACACCCCTATGCTGTTGTAAGGGCCTGGATGAGGACTGACGCGGTGATCTCGGAGAGGGAGACTCACCGACAGATGGTCAATCAAATTGCCCACGGGCGACACCTCAATACATCGACCCTCGGGCGTGTAAAGCCAATTGGAGGTGGGCGGATCTTCCTGTTCTAATGTGTCTCACAAAGCTCACAGCTGAATACGAAGCGGACGACGGCCATCGAACACGGGTAGCGCCTATGCTTACAGATGAGCAGGGTGGCCGCACTCATCGCGAGCCCTTACGAGTGCGGCGGCGTCCCCGAGTATGGGCCTGCGTCGACCGTGCCTGGCGTTGGTCATGTAAGATAACGAGGCTCGGGGTGTACGAGAAGAGTGATTGTTTGACATCTTCGTGTATAGCTTAGGGCTAGGCGTGAGTGTCAATCATCCCATCGGATTGTAGTAGGACCAGAGCCGGCGGCCCACTGTGTGCTGAGAGGCGGCCCATACGTTTACATTGTCGGAGATAGTAGATCATCTTGGCCGGGATATACGGCAAGTGGAGGTACGTCTGTGGTGAGGTGAAGCGAGGAGCAGAAGCGAGAGATACGTGACGGTCGTCGAAGAAATCGCGGGATACACGAGCCGCTCAGATATCGAGACATTCAGGAACGTGTTTGCGCCGAATAGGGGACACCTATGGAGGGGAAATTCCACCCGTCATCTGATATTCGCAAAACAGTGAATGTCTTGAGCATGCGCACTTGCACGTTGAAACGCAGGCAGAGGTCGTATGAGAACAGGGTTACGAAGGAGGCGCACTCGGATGTAGTTCGTGATAGTCATGCGTCTGTCTTCGATCTAGACACGAAGATAAGAGGCACGTGATTGTGTGGTTGAAGTTGATCCCGTTGAATCTTAAGCCAGACCTCAATCCGCCTCTCCCTCCTACATCTCTTGACAGTCGGGAGACACCAGGCATCTAGAACAGGACGAATACGCACTGACCGCGGATTCTCTCGATATACTTCGTCCGTCACGGCCATCGATTCGCCCCATGGCGCCAATTACGCGGGCTGCGTTGCGTCCCGCCACTTTCGAGGAGCCTATCTTCATTACCCCCTCTACTACATCCAAAGACAGGAAGAAACCGCACTGTAGGAAATGCGGGATGCCTTGCAAGGGCCACCCGCGTGGCGGCTGCCCGACTCCCGCTCCGATTTTGTCTGAAGCGCAGGAGAGCCCCGTATCCGATCTTGTCGACGCGTTGGACGCACTGAACATGAATTCGGACGCGGCGGAAGTGCCCTTATCCGTCACCTCCTCCACCTCTGAGGACTCTTCCCTGTTCAAAGAACCTCTGAGGAAGGCAAGGATCCGACGGCGGCGGGGACGCCTCATGCCCGGCACTCTCTCGTACCCCACAGACAGCTCCCTCGTGTCCGAGCCGCCTGTCTCTCCGCCTCGCCTCCCACCTCGCCATCCTCTCGATGCTCGCCAGAGATTCCCGGGTATCAACGCGCCCAAAGAACCATCAGGACCCCGCAGCCAGTCGCGTGTTCGCTCGGCGAGCGCGAGCGCGAGAGAGGACTTTCTCGACGAACTTGACGGCGTCGCCACGCACGTACCAGTGGCAGTGTATGTGATACCAGCTTCGCATGTCGAGCGATTACAGCTTTCCGCGAGCAAGTTTGGCTTCCGCGCAGCTGCAATCAACTCGGCAGACGGTACGCAGAAGGACAAAGCGTGGTTAGTTCTCGGCACGGAGGCCGCCGCGGTCAGAGACGTCCGTGAAAGGTTGGCGAAGATGGACGCCTCCGCTACAGCATCCCGCGGGACATATGAACTAGCTCAGGTTGCCGGAGGAGCACTAGTGGGTGCGGCGGCTCTATTGGCAGGATTAGCGCTGTGACTCTTGTAGGCCGCAATACCGCCCTATCCTCTGTTGCCCTTCCGTCATCGTAGTCTCTTGTTTGTGCCCGTAAACTATGTATCGGTATTCTGAGTTCTGGCTGTTTGTCAGTGACGTTGAACATTTTATCCCTCTTGACACCTCTAGCTAACAGTGACGACGGTGAGAGGAATAGGGCGAGTTTTATTCACTAGCATCGCAGCACAACGCCGCTTCAAGACAACGCCATGCCCAGCATCCTTAACTTAGCGTTTGAGACAGCAGAGGCCGTGGAAGTACTGACTCGCAGCCTCTTGACAGCCAACGACTCGCGCCCCACTTCACCCACTCGGATCAGGATCAGATAGGATACGACTTTCACCATCAGGCTTCGTCACTATCATGCATGCCTAGACCCTTATGATTTGTTGTAGGATTAGCGTCGGCCGATCGGCCGATTCAGAAGTGTGAGCGTATCCTCGCGGCAAGGTGAACGGAGACGGTCGCTGGTCATCAAATCGACGAGCTACATGTACATGCAGACTTGAGAAGGGAGAAGGGATGCGAGGCTCCATTTCTGCGTGTAGCGGAGCAATGATAGTACGGGCGTATGCAGGCGCGTCTTCGAGAGCGGGCGAGCTATCTTCTCGTTTGAGGCCACGCAAAAGTGGATCAATCTTCCTACCAAGGGTGATCCGGCGCTTAGGTTGTCATCTAATGCGCGTCGAACTCTCCAACCAGCTCCCGGGGCATATATAGATGCGGAGGTAAGGAGATCCGCCTACCCGAAGGCATCAGCTCGTCCTCCATAGATCGCGTTTATTCTCCTTGAGGCATTCAACAATCAAGTATTCTGGCCGGCATCAGCTTATCTTAGCGCCGAGACCCGCTGACTCGCGTGCGCCCCCGGCTCGCGGGTCACTTAAATCTCACGGAGAGGCCGAGAGGCAACTCTTCTCGCCCCTCCACGGCCTCGTCGTCAGTAGCTAAGCTTGAACATGTCCGGACGACGTGCAGGGATTCATTCCGTAGTCCCGGATGCCATATATGGTATTATTCCTGTTGAACGGGTATGTGATTCACTGTGAGCTCTTCGTGCTCTGCTCATACGCCCTAGCTCGGCGTAGAGACCGTCGATGACACATATTCAACGCCAGTACTGCGTGAGGTATGGCAATCGACTTTCACGTGGCATATACGCTAGGATTAATCATTACTCTTAGCGATGTGGGCGTGGGCAAGACGATGACCCGCGGATCGCAGCTCGGGTGCGCGGAGAGGGTTGGGGGGGAGAAGTTCGCGGTTCGGAAGCCGATATTCTCCCCGCTCTAAGCGCAATACTCTTTACTGCTGCGTTTTCCGCTCGGCGCGGTTTCCTCGACGACGACGTTCAGACCACGGAACGTTTGCCGCCATGCGACGGAGACGCCGCCGTCATCTTCGAGATGGGGGGAGCGTCGCGCGCTGCCCCCAGTCTCTCCGTCCATCTGCTGGATTCAGGACGAACGGGCGCGCCAGCAGTTCTCGAGACGCTTGCTAGAACATCATTTGCAAGCCCTATAATTGCTCTCAGCATGCCAGCACTAGACGCCCAAGATTGCGATGAGAGAGGCTACCCCAATACGGTGAGCGGACAAATGGACTTCGACGATCGTATGAGAGCCGCGGTCACCCAGATCATGACGGCGGCAGAGATACGCTTCCGCTCCGACGTGTACCGTCAGAGCGAGATGTGCATTCTGTTGATTGTTACCATTGGGAATCTGGTGTCCAAAATGAACTACCGCCACGATCCGTCTCTAGATCTGGACGAAATGGCGATGTGGTGTACAGACGAGGCGGTGTTCAGGCGCATAAATAGAGGAACGCATCGCTACCGCAACCGCACAGTCTTTCGATGGCATCAGCCCGAGATGGGCGCCGCGTGGTCGTACCCCGCACCGCTCGAGAGCGAGGGGCTACTTTGGACGGCCGAAGGCTGCTCGCTGGAGGTTTTTACCCGTCGCCATACTGAGGAGGCTCATAGCAGATGATGAGTGGGTTTCTCTATCTCATGATATACGGAAGTGTTATTTTGGAATATGCAATGACCATCGTACTTGTTTGTGGGAAGAGTCGCGAGCAATATGCTATATGAAGCGGCGCCCAGAAAGTCCGTGATATCACAAAGTCAGTTTCAACACCATGTGTATGGACTGTATAGCAACTCGAATTGTCGAAGACATCGGAGCTAACCCAGGACTCAGCGATTGACTGCTGACGAGACGAGAGACAGGAGGGGCCGAACAAAGTTTCTCTGAGTTGTGTGGACTGAAGCCCGGCCAGCAACCGTCATTGGCATGTTCTCGTAGAGCTAAACATCGTGTTTGCTAGCTGAGCGGACGCTTCCTGACGGACCTAAACGGGAGGCGTCGCGTCGCGCTCGCCTTGTATCTTTCCCTGATCAAACGTCAAATTGATATCTGTCGTAAGACGGTAAAAGTTAGTGAGTAGATGCTTCTGCAAAAGAACATACTCATTTTGATGAGGTCGGAGACCACGGGGTCAGCCTCAAACTGCATGAAAGCTGCGCTCTTTGCGTTTGACATCGCCGTTCTCGTACTTATACCGAGCCACCATTTCAGAGGTCAAACCTGTTCCTCACTCATTGATTATTGCTGTGCGTGTAGCCTGAGTAGAAGAGGGTTGGCATTTGAGGAAAAGCGGCGAAGGGGCCGGCCGCGACGCGCAGGGGAAATATGGTCCTTGCATGCGGACCTCGAGCTAGCGCCGGGTCATTCCGACTGGCAGAAAGGTCTCGTTCAAACTAGTCACGGCTCAATTGCTGTTCCCGAGGCCGATATGTGGCATAACTTCTCCTCGTCTTTGTCCGGTGAAGGTCCGATCCCTACAGTCCTCACTCGGAGAGTGTCGGATCTACTCCCGCTCCTCCCATCTCTGGCAAAGACGCCGCATAAGACAGATACCACGGGTAGATCACTAGTCACGTGCGGGCCGGAAAATCCTCGCAGGGTACTGTACTTCGATTGAGTTGCTTCCACTTCCACAATACTCTGCGCAAGGACCCCGCGCGTGGGGTTGTGAGCGAAATCCGGCACCCGGGTGCCATCTGGCGGCTCAACATCCTCGATCAATATCGTGAGACTGGTGATCTACCCATGGTATCTGTCTTAAACCAATGAACTACGCATGAGCCTTGAAAATTATAACACTTCACCATCTCTGGCACCCTTGCAACGGAAGAGAGCACGGCATTCGCGCCGGTCTTCGGTAAGGGTCTCTACGACGTAGCAGCGGCGTAGGATGTTTCACACTTTACTACGGAATATGGATCATAGTCGGCGTACATGGATTCAGAATTAGAGGTGTGGAAGGGAACAGCGGTCGCTGATACGCTCCCCGGTCAACCCGGTAGATGCCGTTCTTTGACGGGACTTTGTGGGTTGAACACATAGGACCCGTACGCCATATGTGCGAACTGACATGAATTGTAATGTAAGTCCCACACGGCACTGGGTTCAGTGAGAATACCATGCAGTCTTTACGGCGACAAAACCCGTCGATAAACTCGTGTTGGGTACGCCGACATTCTGCGTATTCGCGCGATTGCCGTACCAGTGCGGATCGAATATCAACACATTTTGCAAAGACTCTAATTCTTTCTGTGCCACCTATTATTTGTCCTTGGAACACAAGTCTGGAATGGCGTGTAAGATCTGTGCGCGGGGGCGAACTTGCCTGTAGTAAACGCCCTTCGGGGTTTTCCGGAGACAATATCCCTTCGACCCATTCTATAAATCAACCCCGTGTACAAAGATTCGGTGCTGAGGGCACGCCATTCCCGACTCTGGACTCTGGTGCATAAACGCGTCAAACGCTCCAGTTCTGCGTCTCGGTGTTGGCTTCGACCTGCTGTGGCGCGTGGCCTCGCGCGGCACCGCATTCCCCTTAGATCTCGGCCCCGGCCATTGCGCGGACTCCCGCTCCCTCACTCAACTCGTCAGTATTGTGACCGTCTCATAAAGTCCTGTACGATCAGGGCGCATTCCGCCGTTTGTATCGGTCCATTTGCGCGCGTCGCCCCGCGCGACTCCGTCTCCCCTCCGATCTCCTCCTCAAGCTCTTCGCGTGCACCCGACTTTTCGCGCAGCTCGTCAATGCCTTAATATTTTATAACCAAGCGTGGTCTGAAGCAGCCGCGGCGCACCTGGGTGGTGCTGCGTTCAGATCTATCATCTCGGCTCTCGTACTTCCCCTCAGCGTTGTGTTAAAGGCCTTCCGCTGCACTCAACTTCACATCCTTTTATTGAAGCTCTATTCCGCGCAGGTACGATTTTCCGGACGTCAGTCAGCATCTTCGACGCTCTCTTCTCCTCCTCCTTCCTCAGAAAACCCTTCATGCGTCTAGTCAGCTTTCAAGCCCTATACATCCTATTATCAGCCTAATGTCATCTCTTTATATTTGGACTTCTACAACTTTTTGCCTGCGCCGGACTCAGTCGTGCGACCTAGCCCCGCTTCCCTATCTGCTTCCAAAGTCTCACCTTAACTCTCTCACCCTTACCACCCCACGTCGCCTAGCTTTAGTTAGCTTGTTTCCCCCCAGGGAAGACAAATTAGATTACGGGACGACGGATACGAACGATTGAGCGTCATAATTTGTCGGCGACGTAAGTACTCCCGCCGCTGAACAGGGATACAAACCCACTGATGATAAGGCCGAGGGAACGGGACTCTACCTTAAAGCCAAATCTTTGGGGCTCGGTAGACATTTTGTACCGCTATCGGTAAGAAGTGTCAGGTGAGAAGTGGTAGTACATACTTCCGTGAGGTGATAGTGAAGTGGATGCTCGCCGGAGGTCATGGCAAGAGCGCGCTTGCAACGGTGACCAGTAGATCCTAACGCTTGCCCGACCGTGTGCCAATAATACGAGAGGAACGGCGCACGGGAACGGAAAGGCAAGCTTGAGTGCAGCAGCACTTTGGGAAGCCGTCTGGACGCGTCTGAACGCGTCTGGGCATGCTGGGCGCGTCGTTCAGAACGCCGAGACGCGTCCAGCTCGCCCAGCTCGCCCAGCGCGTCCAGACGAGGGTCCACCTCAGAGAATGTTGGTTTAGTATCCGGATAGTGTATATAAGTACTAGTAGACCTTACGACAGCTTGAATAAATGTATTCCGATGTGCGAGTGAGCCGGTACGGGGGCCGGGAGGCGGGGCGGCGAAAAGGCCGGTGGCCGCGCGAGAAGCCGATTGCCGATATGATGGCCCTCAATTCTAAGCTCTCAGCGCCGCAATGGCTCACTCACACATCGGAATGCATCTATTCAAGCTGTCGTGAGGTCTACTAGTACGTATATACACTATCCGGATACTAAACTAACAATTTCTGAGGTGGACCCTCGTCTGGACGCGCTGGGCGAGCTGGGGAGCTGGACGCGTCTGAGCGTTCTGAACGCCGCGCCCAGCATGCCCAGACGCGTTCAGACGCGTCCAGACGGCTTCCCAAAGTGCTGCTGCAGAACGCGTCCAGTAGACGTACTAGACACGAACAAGGATACCAGCCTGTGCGCTTGAAATATTGAGCTGATACCGCGGTGGGTAAGACCCCGCAGACTCGACGTCGCTGAGTAAACGAGAGCCGCAGACACAGGACACGACATCTCCCAAAGACGGCCCCCACGCGTCCATGAGCAAGCGTGGTGGGATCAGCGACTGCCATTGAAGCGTTTGGCATAGGGCAATCGCTTCAGATACCGGGAGTCTTTCAGCGGCAACGATAACTGTGCGGCCGGTCAGCAACGGCAATGGAACAAGCAAGGCCGTACGGAACGGACGCCGGAACGACGCACGACCCGAAGGTGTACCGACAGTCGGGGTAGTGCTATGCGAAGGGCCGGTGGGCCACTATTTTAGTAATCCCAGTCGCCCGAAGCATCAGGCAAGGAGCGGAAATGAACGGCCTACCCTGCGTATGGCACCCGTTGTAGAAAACGAAACAGAGGAGGGAGAACGTACATGGCGAGAACGACAGTGACAAAGAAGCGAATGGACGACCCCGACTGGTGAGGAAAGTGCGGAGCAACAGACCGATGCTGAGGAGGACTGATTTTGGTCCTAGATGACTAGATTCTGGTACGATACTAAGACTGGACAAAATCAGTACGTTGGGGGTTCCAAGAGGACAAATAATATTGCACCACTTGCGCTACTGAAAGCAGAGAGCTGTACAGACTTGGCGCGTAAACGCTGGTGCGCGTCTCGATGGGAGCCTTGCGCGGTGGATGAATCAATAACAGCAGTCGCGCGACGCCCAGCACTTCGGGGACACTGTGCTCTCATTCAGAAGTTGTATGATGTGCGGATTGACCTGCACTGCAGTGATCGAACTCACCATGTGGTCTTGGTGGCGCTTCAGCGCTGAGAGGGTATGCTCGGAAATGTACAACAAGACAACCATGAGATGATCTACAATCATGCCTTGGACGAAACTGTACTCGAACGTGAAGTACCGCACCTACGCACAGGCAAATGAGGGCCTGGCAGCGCCACCACGAGTACGAGCTGCACGGGTTGTACGAGTTCATGCCGTGAGATTTGCAGGCGATGTAGCCTATCATAGACTCTTGATTGATAACGGAAATCATAATCGTAGGCCACGTCATGCAGCAGGACGCCTCCCTCACTCATCGCCGCCGTCGGAACAAGCTGGCGGGAGATTCAGTACATCGTCTTTCGGACTTCAAGACGCGGCTTCTGTTCTAGCATGTGTATCCATAGAAACGGGACGCTGTGATAAACGGAGAAATGTACGAACCGGGACAGTCGCTGCTGCAGTAAATGGCGTTACAGGCGGGATCAGGGACCGTACGTACAACAGCAGGGAAAAATGAAAGGTGGGGGAGCATTGCGCACAAATAACATGAGATCGCTGCCATATGTAGAGTCTAGGACAAGAGGTAACAAGGCGCCACGCCAGACACTAACCAGAAGAGCTCTTAGCATTACAATCATCGTCTCTTCCCCTTCCTCTTCATCACCGATCGAACTATTCCAATGCCGGCTCGTCACTTACGACACACTCAAACCGCGTCTCCCAGCGAACCAGATGCTCTTCCTTAACTTTCCCATCCCTATATATGGTAGTGCCGCTTTCGAGTGCGAGCGTCCTTTGAGAGGGATGGCTGGACGGCGGACACGCTCGGCGGAGACCGTGTACAAGAGACTCGTAGTTGGCATCCCCGATCGACGAGTTATGCAGCAGAACCACCTCGGAGAGAGAAGGTGGGAAATCAGCCCCGGATATTGTTGCAAGAAGCTGGGGAAACTCCCCGACGACGCCGTCCAGTCGTATGGACGTCACGGAGCGGAACGCTTCCAACACATTCGTCCACAAGCCCCAGCGTTTCGGGAAGCCTTCCCCTCGGAAAACATCAACATTGCGAAGTGCGTCCCATCGAACGATGGTTCGGAATGCGTCTCCGAGCTCGTCGTATCCCTCGAAGCGGCTGTAGTCGGTATCGATGTGTAAGCGAAAGAACCTCTTCTCTGATGAGTCGCGATTTGATTGCCGGACCTCCGCGAACATCTCCATAGGTGAGTCGTGATCATTGATTGTGATGCGTAGCTCCTTACAACCCCATTCCGGATTGTTGTCCGGAAACATCCGGCGCAAGCGGTCCGGAAAAGCGGCAGCCAGCCCTTCGCAAAGGACGGGCGCCGAGATCGCGCCCATGTCCCAGAGCCCAGCGTCGATGCTGACGTTACAGATGTCTTGTATATCCAAATTGATTGTGGCGTAGAGGGCGTGCTTGAAAGGGATCGATAGAGAAAGCTCTCGTAAGGAGAGGAGTGACACCATCGCCTTTGGATGAGAGACATCCCAGTCCTGAGGAAGCTGGAGGGTGTCGATAGGGTTGAGTTCGAGCGATAACGAAGTCAAAGTAGGCAAGTGTCCCAGTGTCTGCAAAAGTGTATGGAAATCGCACTCTAGGTGGCAGTTTTCCAGTACAAGCTCCGTCAAGCCTGCAGATTGGAGGATTGCTGAGTTGCTAGTAAGCATACTGGACTTGAGAAGTAGCCGTGTGAGCTTCGGCGCGCTCGTAACGATACCCGGTTGCGGGGCTTCAACGAAAGCGGGCCAAACGCCCTCCCAGTCGACTCCATCGAATGTGAGATATCGGCACCGGCTCCAATGCGGCCGGATGCACTCCGAAATCTGCCGGAAAAGGGTATCCCGTACGTTGATCTCTACTGAGAGAGGGTGGTGCCGCGAAAGATTTAGCGCGGTTTCCACGAATGCTAGAGGATAGTGGGTGGTCATGTAGGACCAAAGCTCCGGGGTCGCGTCGGCAATTGCGCGGAAGAATTTGCACACTCTCCGCACGGTGAGTGTCGCCACCACGCCGCGGTGACGGGTGCCTTCGTGGTCTCGATAAGCTTGGATGAATATGAGCGTCAAAACCTCAGACGGGATGCTCCGGATGCCAATACAGCAAGCCTGAGTGAATGAACATCAGTTACGATCTGTACTCCTTTGCCAACGAACAACAAACCGATACAGGGTGCTCTTGGACGCCCGCAAAGTGCAAATCAGGTGCAAGACGCGTGGCTGCCATGGCTGTTGAGCTACGACTTGAGAATGGGACAGAGTAGATGCTGTATGATGGTGGTCCAGCGACAAGTGCATCTCTGCCTTGCTGACATAGATCAGATGATCAATCTGAACACTACGCTGACCATCATGCATCCCTTATCTCCGGCCGTACGGCATCCCTTATCTTCGGCCGTACGCGGACAAGCTGGAGCCGGACGCGGAGCGTCTCGGAGCGTCACGCTGAGCTACTGTTGCATGAGCAGAGTCTAAGCGGCGGCTGCCGCGAAGTTCCAAAACAACAACAGGAAAGCGGGTGTCCAGAGTGGGCCGTAGCCAAAACAACATGACTGACTAATGATACCCAGTGACATTCAAGATCAGGTCTATGAACATGGTAATATTCTCCTGGTAAGCAACGATCGAAGCCGGCAGCCCTTGCCTCCCTCACTAGAAACTATGGGTAGGGCTCATAAACCTCTGATGCATTCTGAAGGCATCCTTGAGTATTGTTTTCGCGGGTGGCCAAGTGTACGTACCTCCAGTCGCTGTCATCCGCTCGTCCCATTTGCCCATCACATCTTGCAGGTCTTCCAGAAGAGCGCGTCGTCGCCAGACTTGTGGCTCATAGGGGCTGTCGGAGGAGTGCTCCTCTGCACTCTGTTGGGCGTCGTCCAGTACTCCACCAGCGCAACCAACACGGATAAGCGAACAATTGATACAGGCACGTCGATTCCGGTAATGGCATGCGAGATTGTCAATGTCGCAATTCCGGCAGCGCTTCGCGTATGGAAACCCTCCTGGAGGCAAACCATGCCATTCAGCGGTTTTTGCTACCTCGTCGAGTGTAGCAAAACTGGTGATCATGCCAGTCTTAGGATCAAGGTGGGCAGCTCGAATGCTGGCCGGCGTAGGCAAGGGCTCGCGAAGTTTTGCGTCCACGCGACTGGGAGGCCTCCAGTTACCGTAGCGAACCTGTTGATCGGCAGCGCCGGCCTGTTCGCACGCGTGGGCAGTCTCGGGCTTGGAGTCTACATGAGGGGACGGTTCATTCAGTGATAGGATTCGGGGTAATATGATGCATGCAGCGTACGTACCAAGCGTAAGCTTTTGCAGAGCAAGAGTCGTAGAAGGTATATCAGTCGTCATGGTGCAGATCAGAGATCTGGATCAAAGCCCGCCCAGCATGGCCCGCCCTGGCAATGTCACGCCACCCGATGGACGCCAGTTTCGCCCGAGTGACGAGAGCGTGACACAAATTAGTCACGGCCGGTTGACTCGGAACACCGAGGAACTTTAGCATTCTCCTCTCATCTCACCCACTTGCTCAGACCTTGAATCGTACACGTGTCACGCGCTCGGAAGTACCTGTTGCGGGTATGAAAAGCCCTAGGGTACTCATATCGTATGTGTCCTATCATAACTCTATCTCATTTTCAATGATCTATATAGTCTATCAGTGGCGCCACGAATATGTGCGAATGACTCTTCGAACATCAACACCACACAAGAGAGAGCGATGCCATTTGTGTGACCTGGTAAGACCCCTATTCTGGTGCTGCTCCGTCTAGGCTAGCCAGGCGTATAGCATCCCCTCCCGCGAAGCATGGCTACGTGCCATAGGTAGAGCTTGCTTATTCTTGTCTGAAAACCCGGAAGACACTTGTTGATGTCGCTTCCGGTCATATACGGGAATGGATCAACCAAATACTCTCCAAGAAGACGTGCCTCTACAAGCCACAAATCGGCTGCATTCGTAACCTCACCGTATTCTCTCACCGGCCTCTGGTCCTTCTGTCGCCATTTCACTCCGTGTTTCCGGGCAAGCGAAAGGGTACAGATCGCATACGACCGGAAATGGCGCGAACATATTCCCGAAGGCGCTGCTGTACGACAGGCAGTAACGAACATGTCCGTCGTGCCCTCTCCGACGTCGCTACACGCTTGAACGTATCGATCCCACATACCCAGTCGGTCATCTGTGCATTGCGACTCAGGTGAACCCATCCCTCCGGACATGAGCGCGGCATTGGTAAGTCTCATCCACCCACTATCTTTGATATGCCATACCCACATGTGCAACAAGCAATGTGCAGGAGTGAGTTCAAGGACCCAGCATGCGACAGAAATGCTGACTCGTAGTTCATCTCGGCGCTCGAGGACCTCAGCTCCTGCGGCGGGATCAGCCGGACGAATGCGTGCGGCATCGTCGCCAACCACGACACTGAGAGGAACGCAAACCCAATAGCTACACGGCGAGCGACGAACATGATCTGGCGGCTCTCTTTTCGCCTGCGGCACTCCCACTGTCCTCTCCAGCTACTTGCTCTCTACCATTGACAACGGTACTCCGGATGGTGGTACGTGTCCTTGACTTGGTGTTTCCTGTCCCAAGTCTAACGGCGTTTAGGTACGGGTACTTGCTCTGGTATGGGCGGCGGGGACGCCGGGCTTTGCTGACACCGTTGGGTGGCCTTCACCTTTGACCGCGGTATGTCGAGCTCATTGTGTCTTCGTGCCCAGTGCGCTGACGAGCACGGACAGGCGGTGTCGGCATCGACACCACAAATGGCGAGCGGAGTACCTCGTTGACCATATCGTTTCCGAAGCCTCCTACTGTGATGTCGTTAAGGAGTCCAATGCCGGAGAGTCTTACATCAGCACGACGTGAGCTGCCCCTAACTACTCGTACACATCTTCAGGTTCTGACCATACAATTTCCAATTACACCGCCTCCTGCAGCTCGTTCAACGCGACGTGTGCCGCTCGTGATGCCTTTCGCCTTGTTCGCGGCTTGAAGTATACCCCTTTGGTATAGAATCTTACTCTTCGTGGAATACCCCCGCTCGTTGTATTCATATACCCTCCGTTATACAAAGGGTCTCCAACGATCCTCACGTTCCCCTACTTCTGCGAATCGCCGGAGCCACGCGTGCGGAGGGACACGTCTTCCCCGATCCGAAGCAGTTGCTGTGCATGATCTGCTTTCAACTGGCAATGCAGTTAATGACTACGGAGGGGCCCCGGTCCCTCTACTGCCTTAAGTGACCTAACGTTCCGCCCAGGCCCTCAATAAAGGGTTGTGGTCGGTCCCTGCTAAGCAGGAACGCCCCCCCCCCAAAAAAAAAAAACAAAAAAAGAGAAGTAGTTAATGAGCAGTGCTACAGTCGGGCGGATGCGCAGCGCCGTCCTATCCGAGGCAATCACTAAGGCTGTAAGTGTCAGCCCCGCGTGCGCACATCTACAAATAATGACGGAACATGACCTTCATGCAGCGGAGGGAAAAGTCGGAGCAGATCAACATCCTCGTGCGGAGAACAGATATCGGGCCTGACAAATTGGCATGTG